ACTGTACTTACCTGGAGTTTACCTGGAGAGAGTTTCGGGGGTCAACGCCCCCGCGGCCCGGTCTGTGACCAGGCCTCCTGGTGGATCAGCGCCTGATCAACCAGGCTGTTGCTGCTGGCTGCACGCAAACCAACGTACGAGCCACAGCCCGGCTGATCAGGAACTGCCTTTAGGTGCTTGTCCAGTGCCAGCTTAACATGGACTATTCACACACAGACTCCATTATATAATTATTATACTATCACACAACTAAAATCAGTCCTTTCATTTAAAAAAAATAATAATATCTTCATAAAAAATTTTAAAAATAAAATTTTCAATTGTGAAAATATCCTCATATATTTTTCGTGGTCTTCTTCAGTGGATGTAGTTCTTGAACATTAAAATGGTATAAAATACCGACAGATTGTTAGGTAAGACATGTATGCAACAGTTAGGGATCTTTATTTCTAACGTTTCGCCTACACAGGGGTCTAAAGCCAGCAACAAACACAATACCTTTCATTCCGTGGACGCTTGAGAGGCAAAGGCAATGTTTCGCGCTTTCACTGAGACCCACATAAAGGATCACTTGGACAACGAAATATGGATCCCAGGTTACAACCTATACAGATGTGACAGAGTGAACAGGCAAAAGGGGGGGGGGGTTGGCTGTACTTTGCAGATCACTTGTTTGCACAGAAACTGCCTAAAATGCCTCAAATGATGTAGTGGAAGTTTTAGCAGTAAGGTCGAGAAACCCAAATCCTAGTCATTGTGTGGATAGTCTACATGCCTCGGAAGCAACATCCCAGCAATTCCAGGAAAGCTGTTAAAAATTGACCACGTCTGGAAAACCTTCCAGCTCCTGCACCAAAAACTTCTTGCTCCTGGGGGATTTCACTTAAGGGCACCTTAAATGGGAGGATAAGATAGCAAATAATATTGTTGCAGTTATAACACAGGAGGCTGTCTGATGAAAAACTCACACTCAACGCGAAGCTTTTAAATCTCTGCACAAATTCAATTTAAAACCAGCAATAGAATAGAGGACTACTAGACTGGAGAATACACTAGACCTATCTTCACTAAACAATGATGATCTGATAAGAAATATCACCATATCAAAAACAATATACTAGATCCACAACATATGAGGTTCAGTCATGTATGCGCGGAGCCCCAGACCGACATAATGAGATTAGTCACGAGGGGAGCATTCACCAAATTCAACGCAATAACAAAAACATAAAGTGGGACAAAAGTAAACCAAGTTCCTACGATTATAGCTGGGGAAGATATACTAAGCAACACAAGACCCCAACATATGATAGAACAGATTAACTCGGTTAAGCACTCGATGTATGCCACAAGGCTTATTCCTCTAAGAAAAAGGAGGAGAAGATGTAAAAACAGAAAGAGACAGGCGCTACCTTTACAGGAGACGGAAAAGAATAACAGAGCGGCTAAAAGAGGTCAATTATATTCTGAAATGCGTAGGAGACCACTGCCCCGGTCAGAGAAATAGCAAGCATTCGAACTTAAGCTAAAAGAATCCTTTTAGGAGTCAGGAATCGCGGGGAAGAACTAAAAAAGCCATAATGAAAATCCGAAAGAAACCCATAGTATTTTTATCCTATGCCAAGATCAAAATCGAGAACAACGTCAGTATTGGCCCATATTAACACAAAGTGGGTCTACCACAGATGACATCAAGGAACTACGTGAGCTACTCAAGTCCCAATATGACTCAGTTTTTAGAAAGCGCTAACCAGACTGAAGAGTCGAAGATCAAAATGAATTTTTTATGAGAGAGCCACAAAATTTGATTATCACAAGCCTATCCCGGATGTTATCCTGGACGCCAATGACTTCGAACAGGCGATAAATGACATGCCATGCACTTCTGCCCCAGGGCAGACTCTTGGAAACTCTGTGTTCATCAGAACTGCTAGAAGCCCCTATCTCGAGCTTTTTACATACTATGGAGAGGGAAGCATGGACCGGGGTCGTCCCTCAGTTACTATAAAACACAGACATAGCCCCACTCCACAAAAGGGGGCAGTAAAGCAACAGCAAGGAATACAGACAATAGCACTAACATCCCAGTCATAAAAATCTTTGAAAGGGTCCTAAGAAGCAAGATCACCACGAATCTAGAGAAACCCATCAGTTACACAAACCAGGGCAACATGGGGTTAAGAAAAACAGGTCGCTCTGTCTGTCTCAACTTTTGGACCACTACGACAAGGTCCTAAATGCACTAGAAGACAAACAGAATGCAGATGAATATTACAGACTTAGCAAAAGCCTTCGACAAGTGTGACCATTGGGCGTAATAGGCACAAAATGCTTTGGCTAAGGAATAACAGGAAAAGTCGGTCGATGGATATATAATTTCCGCACTAAAAGAACACAGAGAGTAGTCGTCAACAGAGTAAAGTCAGGCAGTCTACGGTGAAATGCTTGTTCCACAAAGCACTGTACTCGCTCCCATCTTGTTACTCATCCTTATATCCGACATAGAAAGGGATGTCAGCCAGCACCGTGTTCTTCCTTTGGCAGTGACACCCGAATCTGCATGACAGTGTTTCCATTGCAGACACTGCTAAGCTCCAGCAGACATCACCAAATCTTTCAGTGGTGCTGCAGAAACAATATGAAGTTCAACGATGAGAATTTCAATTACTTCAGATTATGTAAACATGAGGAAATTAAATCTTCATCAGAGTACAAACAACTTTGCCACTAAATAGAGCGAAACACCAACGTTCAAAGTCCTGGGAGTGATCATGTCGGAGGATCTCACCTTCAAGGTCCATACATTGTCTCAATCGCATTATGCTTGAAAAAATGACAGGATGGATAATGAGAACCTTTCAAAACTCGGGAGGCCAAGCCATGATGCACTCTTCAGGTCACTTGTTTATCTAGGTGGAATATTGCTGCACACTAACAGCACCTTCAAGGAGGTGAATTTGCGAACCTGAAAATGTACAGAGAAACTTTCACGGCGCGCATAACGGAGATAAAAACCTCATTTATTGGGAGCGCTTGAGGTTCCTAAACCTGTATTCCCTGGACGCAGTGAGGTGAGTGATACATGATTAATATACACTGGATATCCTAGAGGGACTAGTACGATCTTGGCCACTCGATAAATCACCTCTACGAAGCAAAAGACTTGGCAGACGATGCACCATACCCCAATGAAAGCAGGGGGTGTACTAGCACGTTAAGTGACCATACCAATGAGTGTCAGGGGCACGAGACTGTTTCAACTGCCTCTGCACAGACATAAGGGGATTACCAACAGACCCTGGCAGTCTTCAAGGCTGGACACTGGTCATGAAACCTAAAGTCAGTTCCGGATCAGCCGGGCTGTTGCTCGTATGTGTGGTTTGCGTGCAGACAGCAGCAAACAGCCTGGTTGATCAGGCTCTGATCCACCAGGAGGCTGGTCTCAGACGGCCGCGGGGGCGTTGACCCCCGGAACTCTCTCCAGGGATAAACTCCAGTAGAGTGTTGTCGAAGTTGATTCCAGGTCTGTACAAATGATTCCCTTGTGTTGCTGTGTCTGACAGATTGAACATTAAAATGGTATAAAAATACCGACAGGTTCAGATTAGGTAAGACACTTATGAAACAGTTAGTATCTTTAATCGTCTTCAAGTCTTTCTGCTTCTATCAACTTTTCTGTACTCGAATGAAGAAGCCTACTGTGTTGCGAAAACGTTTCGAAAGTAAAGATAACTTAACTGTTGCATTATGTGTTCTTTACCTAACAGGATGTAGTTCTTGTTGTTATACGAGTGAATAGGCGGCCCAGAAGGGGATATTGATTCAATGGAAGAGAGATCAGGTCGAGATCATAATCTTGGTTTCCTGTACAGACTCTGGCTTTGATGTCTAAGTTGGACAGAGTGGAGTCTGTTTCTCCTAAGGGGGGGGAAAAAAATTTTGGTGGTTTGTCAGGGAAGTTAAGCTCCTCAATGAGGTCTCTGTTCTTGCTGTTCTTTTGGTGGTTTGTCAGGGAAGAGAAGCTCCTCAATGAAGGGTCTCAGTTCTTGCTGTTCTTTGGTAGGTTTGTCAGGGTAAGTGAAGATCATCAAGAAGGTTCTATGTTCATGCTGTTCTTTTTTCTTGGTGGTTTGTCAGGGAGAGAAGCCCATGATTGAAGGGTCCTCCTGTTTCTCGCTGTACTTTATGACTCAGCTGTGCTCAGTAGAAACTTTAAAAGTTGTTTAAGTAATTACTTATCAGAGAATCATTGTCAGTTGTAGTAGTTTTCTGAACTTGTGACCTTGTTAGATTCCTCACAGTCTGTACTTTGGTTCAGTTGTGGAATGTGGCAGTTCTTTTCACTGCTTGAATTTCCCCTCACCTTCCTTCTCCATTCTTTTTTCTTCTCTTTTAGTTTTTTCCTGTTCCTTCTTCTCTTTGCTATCCACTAGTTTTTGCTTTTTTTCGGCAAATTTCATCCAATAGAGGCTTTTTTCTCTTAACACTACGTTCATAAATAGTTTTACCAGAAGTATCAATCCATCTCATTCCTTGATAGGCATACTCAAAGTTATACCTGGCACTCATTCTCTTGATGCCTATGCCAGAAGTGCTTAAGTGTTTCCCAAAGTCCATAGAATTAGCAAGTCGTAGTCCTTCCTCGACTGCATATTTTGCATATAGATGAGTTAATTCCATCCGGTACAGTTCCTGGACCCAGGGTCCAGGAACTGTACCTCAACATTACAAAGATACATAATGGGTCCAGGAACTGTACCTCAACATTACAAAGATACATAATGGGTCCAGGAACTGTACCTCAACATTACAAAGGTACATAATGGGTCCAGGGACTGTACCTCAACATTACAAAGGTACATAATGGTTCCAGGGACTTTACCTCATCATTACAAAGGTACATAATGGGTCCAGGGACTGTACCTCAGCATTACAAAGGTACATAATGGGTCCAGGGACTGTACCTCAACATTACAAAGGTACATAAAGCATGACTGACCCTTAAGGGCTACATAAAACTTAAGTTTGAGTGGCCCTTAACACCTCTCATAATGGCAGCTTTGCTGGTTAGATATTTCCATTTATTTTAGTGTTACGTTGTTCCAGGGAGGTTCCTTGACGCTGGTGCGAGGCTCTTGATCTGGGGAACTAGATCTGTGCTCTAATTTCCTGAATTAACCCTGAAGACCTTCCCCCCCCCCCCACAGACGCTGTGTAATACGGGTTTAGCGCTTCCCCCTCTATAATTTAGTGTTAATGACGTCTGAAGTGATTAATATTCATGTTATCAGGATAATTAATAATATTTTGGGTTATTAATATATCGGACAATACAACAGCCGCCTCAAAAAAATTTTGATTCGGCTCAAAAAAATTTTTGATTGATTTTTTTTATTGATTTGTGTAATATTTTGTTAAATCAGTCAGTCTATCTATATCTATCTATATCTATCACCATCTGTTTTATCCCCTTTAGTTAATTCTATTACATTTTGATTAAAATTTTTTTGATTGCATTGTTAAATCAATCTATCTATCTAGTTGTCTTTATCTATCCATATTTATGACCTCGTCTATTTTATCTATTACATTTACATTTTTCTCCTCCATCTTGTCTCCATTAGTTATATTTCTGGTACCGGTTTGTCTTATTATTTCTTCTTTCGTATCATTCACTTGTATCTATTAATGATTATTGAATTTCAGTAATATTTTTTTAAAAAGTTTACAATTTTATAGCTACTTATGATATACCTTTGAGTTTCGAGTTTTTTTTTTTTTTTTTATACTCGGAGTCCGACCTTAGGCCAGGCTTGTAAATGACAAATACATTATGTTCTATCTTTCATCAGCTGGTGCGGAAAATGGGTATCCCTGTGGCAACCGCTGGTTCCTTGCCCCTATTTGGATCGGTCGTATTTGCCGACTCTGGAAAAAATGAGAATTCTGCGCCCGCATCTCGCATGGTGCGTCCATCGGACCTGCCAATTTATGAAGAGCCCAAGGAAGTGCTGGAGTAAGTTGTGTGGTTCTCATAGATATTAAATATCCTGGCGTTATATAAGGCTCCAATGGAAATAAGTAAAGGACCCCAATGGAAATAAGTAAAGGACCCCAATGGAAATAAGTAAAGGACCCAATGGAAATAAGTCACTCTGTCTGACTTTTTTGGGTTATCCTAGGTTCTCTACACATATGCTGCTATGTATGATAATTCTATGTAACTGTATTTGTGTATACCTGAATAAACTTACTTACTTACTTACTGTCACTTCAACTCCATATTGTTTCAGACTATGGAACAATACTCTTCTCCAGACTGAGGGACTGACCACCTCAAAACTTCAAGGGTGATGGACTGATTACATCGTTTAAGTATCTTCTGCTTCTATCAACTTTTCTGTACTCGACTGAAGAAGCCTACTGTGTAGGCGAAACGTTTCGAAATAAGATACCTAACTGTTGCCTATGTGTCTTACCTAACAACATTAAATATCTTGTAACGTTGTGACTTTCACTTTATTGCGGAAAAGTGTAAACGAAAGTTTCAATCTGTCGTGGATTGTCATAGGGTTTTTAAAGTCGATTCCACTCAGTACTTGGGTCAAAACATATATAATCATTTTTCCACATACTGTATTGTAATTAAGGATTTTATTTCTTTGTATATAGTTTACAATGAGTAATTACAATTTTGATTTGCTAAGTACAAAGAAAGTCACTATCATGCCAGGGCATTTTGGGCAGACTGAACGTAATGCTTAACAGACTACTTAATACTAGGCATATACAGTGGACCCCTGCATAACGATTACCTCCGAATGTGACCAATTATGTAAGTGTATTTATGTAAGTGCGTTTGTATGTGTATGTTTTGGGGTCTGAAATGGACTAATCTACTTCACAATATTTCTTATGGGAACAAATTCGGTCAGTACTGGCACCTGAACATACTTCTGGAGTGAAAAAATATCGTTAACCGGGGGTCCACTGTATATTATAGTTGGTTCGAGCTGTACATAATTTTTTATTTCAGCAGAGGTAGTGGCTTAGAAATAATTGAATTAACAGGTAATTAATTTAACAAGTTACAGTATTATGTTTTGGCTCATTTTACATGATGAGATTGGTAGCAATAAGATAATTGTTAACATTAAATTAACAGCAGCAGCAACAGGTCACCCATAATGTTTGAGAAAAATATCTATATACCTGTGTTCCATGTTAATAATAATTTTATTTACCAACAGTACATGTACAAGGTATACAAGTACATGTACAAGGTATACCAGTACATGTACAAGGTATACAAGTACATGTACAAGGTATACAAGTACATGTACAAGGTATACAAGTACATGTACAAGGTATACAAGTACATGTACAAGGTATACAAGTACATGTACAAGGTAACAAGTACATGTACAAGGTATACATGTACATGTACAAGGTATACAAGTACATGTAACAAGGTATACAAGTACATGTACAAGGTATACAAGTACATGTACAAGGTATACAAGTAATGTACAAGGTATGCCAGTACATGTACAAGGTATACAAGTACATGTACAAGGTATACAAGTACATGTACAAGGTATACAGACCATAGCTGATATCAATGACATACTACTATATAGAAAGTCCCTTGTTATGCTGAGCATTTCCCGGAAATTAGGTCAGTTTTGTCCCCAAGATGCGACCCACACCAGTCCAACTAAACACCAGGAAAGTGACCCACACCAGTCCACTAACATCCAGGACGTGACCCACACCAGTCCACTAACATCCAGGACGTGACCCACACCAGTCCACTAACATCCAGGATGTGACCCACACCAGTCCACTAACATCCAGGATGTGACCCACACCAGTCCACTAACATCCAGGACGTGACCCACACCAGTCCACTAACACCCAGGACGTGACCCACACCAGTCCACTAACATCCAGGACGTGACCCACACCAGTCCACTAACATCCAGGATGTGACCCACACCAATCCACTAACATCCAGGATGTGACCCACACCAGTCCACTAACACCCAGGATGTGACCCACACCAGTCCACTAACACCCAGGATGTGACCCACACCAGTCCACTAACACCCAGGATGTGACCCACACCAGTCCACTAATGCCCAGGTACCCATTATTACTGATGGGTGAACATAGATAACCAGTGTAAGGAAACACACCCTTTTTATTGTCATGTGAGAACTGCTTGCCAAGAGTGGCTAGTGTATATTGTATAATTAAAAAATTCTCTAATTGCAGCTTTGAATTTCATGGGAAGGAGAGAACTGCCTTAGAAGAAAATATTGGTGTTGTGAGGAAAGAGATAGAGAAGATGTTGGAAGCTACGCATTCTGTCAGAGAGCGAGCACTTCATGTCTATGAGACTGGCAAAGCTCATACAATGGGTAAGGCTTTCTTGGATTTATTCTGGCAAGACAGTGATAGTGTGAATGTTGGTGAAAGTGTTTTTCAGGTCACGCCGTCTCCATGGGAGACGGCCAACATGTTAAATATTCTCTTCACTTCCTTGCTTATTTCTTTTTACCACATTGCTGGTCCCCCACTGAGGTTGGGTGACCCAAAAAAGACAGTCACAGTCTGTCTTGCCGGAAGTGTGCAGACAACACTTAATCATCTGTACTGTAACATCCTCACCTCGCCTTCAAAGTGCCACCTACTTTTAACATCAGTTTTAATTTTATCCCCCACCTGATTTACCCCCTGTCTTTCTACCCATCTTCACCTCCAATGTTTCCTAACACATTTTAACTTAATAATTATGGAATTCATACTGTTGGGAGGATATTGATGCAGTCTAATTTGTTTTGGAAAAAGACATTTACGCACACTTCAGGACTGAAGACATCGCTCATGGCAAAACATTTCCTCTTACAAATGTCCTGAAGAGTACATAAGTGCGTATATCCCAGGTGTGCTAGACGAGAGCTGCACACCCACCAAAGATGATAAATTCATCATAAATATTAAACTCACTAGATACTATAATAATGGATCATAATAGGATACTATTTTATGATAATAATTCATGAACTGTTAAGGTTCCCTTCACTGTATGTGTGTTTTCTTTGTGACTTCTCTGTTATGTGTTTAACTTCTCCGTAAGATCCTACATGCACTAGAAGACAAAAAGAATGCAGATGTAATATACACAGACTTTGCAAAAGCCTTCGACAAGTGTGACCATGGCGTAATAGCGCACAAAATGCGTGCTAAAGGAATAACAGGAAAAGTTGGTAGATGGATCTATAATTTCCTCACTAACAGAACACAGAGAGTAGTAGTCAACAGAGTAAAGTCTGAGGCAGCTACGGTGAGAAGCTCTGTTCCGCAAGGCACAGTACTCTCTCCCATCTTTTCTCATCCTCATATCTGACATAGACAAGGATGTCAGCCACAGCACCGTGTCTTCCTTTGCAGATGACACCCCGAATCTGCATGACAGTGTCTTCCATTGCACACACTGCAAGTCTCCAGGCAGACATCAACCAAATCTTTCAATGGGCTGCAGAAAACAATATGGAGTTCAATGATGAGAAATTTCAATTACTCCGATATGGTAAACGTGAGGAAATTAAAACTTCATTGGAGTATAAAACAAATTCCAACCACAAAATAGAGTGAAAAACTAACGTCAAAGACCTGGGAGTGATTATGTCGGAGGATCTCACCTTCAAGGACCATAACATTGCATCAATCGCATCTGCTAGAAAAATGACAGGATGGATAATGAGAACCTTCAAAACTAGGGAGGCCAAGCCCATGATGACACTCTTCAGGTCACTTGTTCTATCTAGGCTGGAATATTGCTGCACACTAACACCACCTTTCAAGGCAGGTGAAATTGCTGACCTAGAAAATGTGCAGAGAACCTTTATGGCACGCATTACGGAGATAAAATGCCTCGGTTACTGGGAGCACTTGAAGTTCCTGAACCTGTACTCCTTGGAACGTAGGTGGGAGAGATACATGATTATATACACCTGGAAAATCCTAGAGGGACTAGTACCAAACTTGCACACGAAAATCACTTACTACAAAAGCAAAAGACTCGGCAGACGATTCAACATCCCTCCAATGAAAAGCAGGGGTGTCACTAGCACGTTAAGAGACAACACAAAAAGTGTCAGGGGCCCAAGACTGTTCAACTGCCTCCCAGCATACATAAGGGGGATTACCAATAGACCCCTGGCTGTCTTCAAGCAGGCACTGGACAAGCGCCTAAAGTCAGTACCTGACCATCCGGGCTGTGGCTCGTACGTTGGTTTGCGTGCAGCCAGCAGTAACAGCCTGGTTGATCAGGCCCTGATCCACCATGAGGCCTGGTCACAGACCGGGCCGTGGGGGCGTTGACCCCCCAGAACTCTCTCCAGGTAATAACTTGATGACCTTGTGATAAACAATTACAGTATTTGACTCACGAAATCGTAATGACACGATTGCAAACAAACTATACCGGGATTGAACCCGCGGTCAGAGAGTTTTGAGACTCTCTGACTGCGGGTTCAATCCCAGCCGGGGTATGGTTTAATTACAGTATTTATTATTATACAGATTCTGGCATTATACAGTACTGCTCTACCTTCTTTCTAGTGCTGGAAAACATACAACAACATGAATTATGATTGATGGCTATGAGTTATTCTTGTATTATAATCAGTAAATTACTGTACATCTTCAGTAGCATAATATAACTGCTAGAAAAGATATTTCTCTATGGGGAAGTGGAACGGAATTCTTCCTCGGTAAGCCACGTGTGTCGTAAGACGCGACTAAAATGCCGGGACCAAGGGGCTAGTAGCCCCTTCTTCTGTATACATTACTAAATCTAAAAAGAAAATCTTTAGTTTTTCTTTTTTAGGTCACGCTGCCTAGGTGGGATCTGGCCAGTTTGATGAAAAAATGGCAGAATAGATAATTGCATTGGGCTAGATTTCATTCGGTATAGTAATGATGATATCTTTAACAGATAGTTTGCTTATAGACAAAAATCTGCATTTCTTATGTTCATCTTGTGGTAAAGTACGAGACTGCGACAAAAGACTTGAGTGTGTCTCATATAATGTTAATATTGAGAGTTTGAGTAATGTGGAAATTTTCTACATAATTTCACAGGGAATTTGTTTCCTTTAAGAAATGAGCTCATAAAGAGTTAGCAGCTGTAGTATTATTATGTACAGTTCTTGCTAATATTTGTGCCGTTTTGTCTGTTATTTCTTAGCTTCAGTGGACCTGGTGAAAGATCTACAAATTTCTGGAGGTTTGTTAAATTTAATCCTTTTCTTTTATTTTAGATAACTTTCTATAGTAGACAGATAACCTGCACACGGGAGAAAGTTATAACGTTTCAGTCCGACTTGGACCATTAACTTGACCATTAGTGGTCCAAGTCACACTGAAACATTATACAGTGGTACCTTGGGATACGAACAACTCAAAACTCAAACAATTATGTAAGTGTATTTATGTAAGTGCTTTCGTAAGTGTATTTTTGGGGGTCTGAAACGGATTAATCTAATTTACATTATTCCTTATGGGAACAAATTCGTTCAGTATCAGCACTCGAACAGCCTTCTGGAATGAATTAAGTTCATATCCCAAGGTACCACTGTATTAAGTTTTTCTCTTGTGTATTGTTCCAGTCACAATTTTGTGAATTTGTATTCTTTGCTTAGTAGCTTTAGAATGGACACAAAGATCAACGTGTAAGAGGATTGCATGGAAATTAATGTTTGGTATGAATAAAATTCCAGGTAAGAAGTTCACTTATGCAGAATAAGAAACTTGAGGAAATATTGATGGGTAATGATAAAATACTGAAGAATAAATTTATTTTCTATAGAGTTGTTGAATTAATAGGACCAACAACCTGTCTTTATGAGCACTGTAATACCAGTAATAGACTCTTTGATCACATTCTTATCCAAATTGATTATATACACAGTCGAGCTTCACTTATACAGCATGTTAGGTTCCAGGCTACTGTAGGGCCTCACTTACAGCAGGTTAGGTTCTGGGCTACTGTAGGGCCCCATTTATACAGCAGGTTAGGTTCTGGGCTACTGTAGGGCCTCACAGCAGGTTAGGTTCTGAGCTACTGTAGGGCCCCATTTATACAACAGGTTAGGTTCCAGGCTACTGTAGGGCCTCACTTATACAGCATGTTAGGTTCCATGCTACTGTAGGGCCCCATTTATACAGCAGGTTAGGTTCTGGGCTACTGTAGGGCCCCACTTACACAGCAGGTTAGGCTCCAGGCTACTGTAGGGCCCCATTTATACAGCAGGTTAGGTTCTGGGCTACTGTAGGGCCCCATTTATACAGCAGGTTAGGTTCTGGGCTACTGTAGGGCCCCACTTATACAGCATGTTAGGTTCCAGGCTACTGTAGGGCCTCACTTACAGCAGGTTAGGTTCTGGGCTACTGTAGGGCCCCATTTATACAGCAGGTTAGGTTCCAGGCTACTGTAGGGCCCCATTTATACAGCAGGTTAGGTTCTGGGCTACTGTAGGACCCCACTTATACAGCATGTTAGGTTCCAGGCTACTGTAGGGCCCCACCTACACAGCAGGTTAGGTTCCAGGCTACTGTAGGGCCCCATTTATACAGCAGGTTAGGTTCTGGGCTACTGAAGGGGCCCCACTTATACAGCAGGTTAGGTTCTAGACTACTGCTGTAAAGTGACACAACCTTTTTACACTTTCAAATGCATCTGATAACATGTTTGCACTGTCATATATTAAGTGAGCAATAGAGGTACGCCTAAAAAATTCATGTACAATACACACACTTAACATATTTTCGTCCTTAGCTTGTAGTGAGTGATGAATATATTTATTTTAGGATGTCTAAATAGATGAAGAATGGATATAACTGAAAACTGCTGCATTAGCAAAACACTGTAAAGTGGAACGCTGTAAAGTGGGGCCCTTCTGTACTAAACATTTCTTCCTGCTTAAGCAGTGCATGTCGTAAGAGGCGACTAAAATGTTGGGAACATGGTGCTCGTTACACTTATACGTATTCAGTATGTTGATATATAAAATATTATAGTAATTGTTTTTCCCCTAGTGACTGTAGACTACATAACAGATGAAGAGAATATATTACCTCGTGCTGGTGCTATTACTGTGGGAGGTCTTGCTGGTCTTGTAATTGGAGCACGCAAGAGAGGAGGTTTTTTTAAGAAAGTTCTCTATACTTCTACTGGTGTTGTTGGTAAGTTACAGCATGTAGCTGTACTTGCTTCACAAGTTGTTTCTCACTACCAAATATTGTACAATAGTCATTGCATAATTTTTGCAGTAATATTGTCTTGAATTAGAAAAATAGTTAGCATACTGATACAGGTCGACCATCACTAAATCGGTATCGTTGGGACCATTAAATTCCTTAAGAGACTCATGTATTGATCTGATAGTTAACTGCACTCAATAGGCGCCTCATAAAATGGGTGCAAAAGTTACGCTAGCTGAAATTATTGTCAGATTAGTGATGGCACTGGATTAGCGATTGCCGCATCAATGATGGCCGACCTGTATATATTCTCTACTTGATACAGGCTACTCTTGCATAACTTAGTGCAGTGATAGATATGGGGAAAAATTGTGAAATAAACTCGTTGAAGAGCAGGAGTTGGATGGGTACAGTTAGACAACACTGTTTTAATAACCATGACTCAAGACCCTTTAATATATATTAGCAGCAGATAGCTGATGCATTGCTGATATAAGGATAAAGTTATCATGTGTTGGATAAACCAGGTTGTGATGTTTGTTCTAGCAGACTGCTAGAACAAACAGCCTGGCTACTCAGGCCAGACTTCTAGGTAGATGATGCATTAAATATGGTCACAGGTGAACACTTCATCAAAGTGTCAAGTACTATTACACCTTGTTGATATTTATGTAACAGTCCATCTCTAATATACTACCTACAATTTTCTTATACTTTAGATATGCACTCAATATGGACATTAAATTTTAAGTTGTCTATTGCTGCTGCTGCTGCTGCTGCTGCTGCACTGTCTGCTGCTGCTGCGGTGCCTGCGGGTGCTGCGGCGGTGGCTGCGGCTGCTGCGGTGGCGGCTGCTGCTGTGGCTGCGGGTGCTGCGGCGGTGGCTGCGGGTGCTGCGGTGGCGACTGCGGCTGCTGCGGTGGCTGCGGCTGCTATTTTGTTTTGTTTTTGTTATGCACATTAATGAAGTTAATATTGTATGGTTTAATATTGACAGGTGCTGCTTCTCTCTGCTATCCTCGCCAGGCCTACCACATATCTCAACAAGTGTATGGCAATGTTAAAGATTATGCTACTATTGGCTACAACTTTATTGCTGGAGGTAATTATGTTGAATCTAGGTAGTAGGTTGGTAGACAGAAACCGCCCAGGGAGGTACTACCGTCCTGCCAAGTGAGTGTAAAACGAAATCCTGTAATTGTTTTACATGATGGTAGGATTGCTGATGTCCATTTTTGTCTCAAACATGCAAGGTTTCAGGTACGTCTTGCTACTTCTACTTACTTAGGTCACACTACACATACATGTACAAGCATATTTATACACACCCCTCTGGGTTTTCTTCTATTTTTCTTACTAGTTCTTGTTTATTTCCTCTTACCTCCATGGGGATGTGGAACAGAACTCTTCCTCCGTAACCCATGCGTGTCGTAAGAGGCGACTAAAATGCCGGGAGCAAATGGCTAGTAACCCCTTCTGTATATATTACTAAATTTAAAAGGAGAAACTTTCGTTTTTCCTTTTGGGCCACCCCGCCTCGGTGGGATATGGCTGGTGCGTTGAAAGAAGAATTATGTTGAACCATACATAGTGTCTTTTTCCACATTACAGGAGGGCCCCACTTTACAGTGGTTCACTAATATGGACATTTCAAATTATACCCAAAAATTCGTTTATACGGCTCCTGATTCGACATTATGGTGTCTGCCCACCATCCATCCACTTTGTCTACATCCTCCGTGACCTCTGCGTCTCTCTATTATATCTGGAAACTTTCCAAAGTTTCAAGCATTTTAAGATTATTGCATATTTTATACATAATCTGTTTTGCATTACAATGACATCTAAAGGTAGTTGTGATAAGAGGAGGAGTTGTAAGACTCTTTATTTTAAGTGGATAGTCAGAAATGATTAAACTCAGTGAGCAAGGTATGTATGGCAGAGATAGTACTGATAATTGTACTTGTGTATATCTGTACCTAAATAAACTTGCATACCTAAATAATGTATATTTGAGCTGATTTTCTCTATTCTGTTTATTACAGTATACAGTACACTACTGTAAAAACATTTAAAAATACACCAGAAATGTTATAAATGGTGCAATGGTGATGTTAAACCAATATCAAAGATGGTTGACGCAAACTCGCTACCATTTTAGTATGCGCCTCACTTAGCGATGAATTCATTTACCAGTGTGGTCTTAGGAACGGAACTCCATCATTAAGTGAGGAGAGGCTGTAATAATAATAATAATAATGTACTGTATATTCATTTTGCCTTATTATTATTTTTTAGGCCTAGTTCTATTGGTAACTTAATACACCTACCATCCAACTTACGACCTGCTCGACTTACGACCACTCGACTTACGACCGTGTTTTTTATGCCAAATTTCTGGGAAATAAACAACTATTTGTGTTGTACACAGTGTTTATCCTAAACCTTACAGTATAAAATACAGTACTAACAACATAAAAAGTGAAGTAAAACATGAAATACCAAAATAAAACAATAAAATAAAGTCATTACAAAAATGTGATGTTGATATTCAGTAGTAAAGTTCGACTTACGACCATTTCGACTTACGACCGGTTTCTCGGAACCGAATTCGGTCGTAAGTCGGATGGTAGGTGTACATGATTGTGTAAACGTTATTAGGCATTTAAAAGTAAAAAAAAAAAATTCCCTTTACAGTGATTTTCACTTTACGGCAGTAGCCTAGAACCTAACCCGCTGTATAAGCAGGGCCCCTTCTGTATAGGTTTGGCTCACTTGTATGCAGTGACCCATTTTAAGCAGTAATTTGCTGTATTAATTCACTGTTAGGTGATCATCCAAGCCAAGTACCACATATTATAACATGTTACATAACTGATCTATGTTGGCATTTATAAGACCAAAACAAAGAAAAAAGGGATATCAAATGAGCATATTTTGAACAAAATCCTATTGTATGTAGTACAATATGTTTGATTTATGTAAATTTATTTCATGCAGCACCTAATGTATTAAGCATCAGATACCTGTATTTTACAATTTAAGAAGCACACAAGCTTTAATGATAAATCTTGGCATTTTCTGTATATTTTATATTTCTCTACTTATAAGTGTGTTGAAAGTTAAGAAATTCAAACTTAATACTGGAGTGTTGAGACGATGTTGCTTTACTCATGGCTAATATTTGTCTTATTTTCACCAAGAATAATTATTTATATCTTGTATTTTGCCCTGTTTGAGAAAATATTTTCTAATGAAGCATGTATAATGACATTTACACATCATAACATAATCTTTGTGTGTATTCATTACAGTAAAACCACAGTCAAAAGTGTCAGCTCCAGTTGAACACAAGGAAGTAGCTACTCCAACTGCTGCTGAGGTTATCACCACTGAACCAACAGGGAAGGAACCAGCACCAGCAGCACCTACAACAACCACACAGTCAGAAGGTGCTGAGGTAAGGAGCGTTGTACCACAAATTATCTCCCTCCAGAAGTTACCTGCTCCGTTTGACACGCTAGCACAACAAGCGAGTGACATAACACTGTGGGGTTTTAGACTAATAGACCGAACAGACACCGTTTCCCGATCCCCAACCGACCTAGTGCTGTCTGCAGAACCAACAGTTCCACAAGGATTTGGGAGTGTTGAAGACTCCAATAAACTTACTGCTGAAATGACCATTGAACATAAGGCAAATAAAGTTGGTGTTCAAGTTAAGGACATAGGCAAGGGTAAAGATACACATGTACCAGAAGTAGCTGAGCCTGTTCTGAGACATAAAACTTCAGATATTGCTACTGTAGATATTGTAGGTACAAAGAGTGATATAGGTGTCGTGAAGACTGCAGATTTTGCAGAAACAAAAGTTGCAGATGTCAATGCAGAAACTACTGTTCAAGATCCAGTGGATGGAGAGAGTATATCAGAGAAAGTTGCATGTTTTGTGGAAGAAAAAGCTGCAGAAGTCGTGGTAAAGGCAGCACAAGAAGTAGAGAAAGATGCAGCAGATGTGGCTGCAGGAGCAGAATTTATAGAAGAAATTGGTAGCAAGGTGGAACCTGTTCTAAAAACTGCTGAGAATGTAATGGATGCTGCCAGCAAAGCAGCTCATTATACTCCAGGAGTGCCAGAGACAATAACAGAGAAAGTAGCGTTAGTGAAAGATGCAGTCAAGGAGGCAGATACAATTGTCAAAAATGTCACAGGTGTAGCAGAAAGTGTAGACAAGGCTGCTGAAGAATTTAAAAGAGAAGCAGAAATAATACTAAGCCAAGCTACAGAAGTAGTGGAAAGTGAGGAGAAGAGAGAAGAAATATACGAGAAAGTTGTTGACTTTGTGACGGGTGGTGGTGGGAAATCAGCTGTATCAGATGAAGTGAAAGAAACATCGAAGGTACCAGACACTGCTGTTAGAGATGCATGTACAGAAATATATCAAGAACCCAGTGCTGATATTACAGATCAGCTGAAGCTGTCAGACACACATGAAAAAGAGCTGTTACAAACACAAGGAGAGCCTGGGCAAAGTCCAGATACTGATAGAAAAGTTATAGGCAGTGAAGCAGACAAGTCTCTCACTATTACAAAAGACACTGATATTAGTATTGTCTCAACACCTGATAAAAAGGGACTATTTTATGAGATTATTAATTTCTTCTCCAAAGAAAATAAAGTAACTCCAGTTGTTGAACATGGAACCTCTGGTGAGGACACTTTCAAGACATTACATATTGAACCTGAGACGACTACTGATGATGTACTTGCCTCTTCAAGAGAAACCCCAGAGAAGGCTCAAGCCAGGTTGACACCTGATGATACAACAGTTACTCCTACAGGTTTGTCCAGTCTTTCAAAGGATGAAACGTTACCACATAGCATTGGGGAAGTGCTTGAGCCAGTCATTGAGAGTGTTGCAAAAGATATTGTAGTTGATGTTGCAGATAAGGCATTGAAAACGGTTTCCGAAGTTGTTAAGGAAACAGCAGAGGATGTGGTGGGAAGTGTGTCTGATGTGCTTGAGGTAACAGATGTGGTTAAGGAGATAGATCAGAAAGTTGTACCTGTTTTGGATGACATAAATAAAGCAACAGAAGAGGTTCCAAAGGTTCCAGGGGTGACTGAGTCTGTGGCAGTGACGGCTAAGTTTATTAATCAGATATCAGAAGAAACTGAGAATGTGGTTGAGACTGTTACTTTTGTTGCAGAAGAGGTCCATGATGTTGCAGAAAATATAAAAAATGAAGGTATAGCAATTGAACATGAGGCTGCTGAATTAGTTCAGAGTGAAGAAAAGAGAGAAGAACTAATTCAAAACATCATTCATTATGTTGCAGACAGTAAACTTTCCTCACTGGGTAAAACACAAGACCAAGATAATGTAGAAGTATCGGCTCCACCTGCAGAAACTTCAACACAGTCAGTAGTGAAGGAAGGTTCACTGGACCAGCCTGTAAAGGTTGTCTCAGATCACGAACATGACCATGTACCACCCGCTGCTGGAAAACTTCAGCAAAAAACAGCAGCCGAACCTTTTATAGAAAAAGCCGAAGAAACAATTGATACAGAAGAGGCAAACCATGTGGCTCAGGAAACAGAAGATCCAAACACAAGTACTAAAAGTGTTGCAGCAGTAGATAATATACCAGAGGCACAACAAATCTCACATGAGGCTCCTAACATTTTAAGGAGTCCAGGTCCAGAAGTTATTGAGCAGCCTAATAGCATTCTTCCTGAAAAGAAATCTTTCATAGACAAAATAGCCAAGATGTTCAGTGATAAAAAGGAGCCACTTTCTGTTCCTTCTGGAGGTACAGCTGAGATTTCTAATGTGAATTTATCGTCAGATGCATGGACAGAAGGTTCAGTGTCAGTGAAGCGAGAACTCCCAAAGACAGTCTACATATGTATTAAGCTCCAGTGAAAGTAAACAATATACACCAATGCCAGATTCAACAATTCCAACACTTGGTGAGGTTCAAGAACCTTCACAGGGTTCAGGTTCACTTTTGAGTGTGCTAAGAGTTGCATTAAAAGCGAAGGATAGTTGTATCTGGCTAAATTTGTCCACTGATGACAAACCGACCCCATCACCACTAGACCCGACCCACATTACAGAGGAAAGGTTAGCTCGCGGCCCCAAAACCAAAATGTCACGCAAGTTCAACTGTTCAGGTGGTTTTGTAAAATTCAGATTTTCACTTTGGACACAGTTGCAAACATATTTAAAAGGGAAAGGGAAAAGGGTTTTTAAAGGAAAGGAAAAAAAACTTTTCGTCATGAAAAATATTGAACTAGAGTTGCTGAAGAGCAAAAACTGAGTGGCCATTGATGACAATGCTAAAATTTTTTTGTGGTCAGAACAAATCCAAGATTTGGTGTGACCAACTGATGAAGGGGGGACCAAAGACAAGAATGCTGCATTTTTCCCAGTGGGGCGGGGCCATTCAGGGACAGTAAAGGCGTATTTTTTGTTGTTGTGGTTGTTAACAAAGCGCACTGTAGCTCATTCGTGGTTTAACGTTCTCGGGGATCTTTCCTAACTTCACACATGGGTATAATTTTTTCCTAATCTTGGGGGACAGTTAAAAATTAAAATCCAGATATAATAAAAGTAATTTAAGATTTTTTTGTACAAGAAAAAATTTAAATTCAGCATAAATTTGGGTAGGGGAAGTACATGTCTGCACCGAAGTTTTTGGTGGGGAATTGCAGTCACGGGTTATTTTTTTGAAATGACTGCATCTTCTGCCAAGACACTATTGAATGAATGTATGATTATTTCTTTTTTTGTCCCCCTACATTTTGGGGGAGACAGCTGGTGTCTTAAAAAATACAAGATTCTTTTACACTAAATGCGGTTTTTTAATGTATAATATAATTTTAAAAGTGTGAATAAACTTCCTCTGCATGAAAGAGTAAATTTTAGGGTACTTTGAGTATACCTGGAGGGTTTAGGGTCGGTCCCCCCCTGCCCGGGTCTGACCAGGACGCGGCCGGGTCTACCCGGGGAGCATCATTCAAAACCATTTGTTTCTCATTGCAAATGAACGTTGACACTAGGGCACATTTTGTGCAAATTTTCACACACACACACATACACCACGACAATGGACAAAGACAGGGTGTTTCCCGGGGGGGACACAGAAAAAGAGGCCCCATTGAAATTGAAGACACAAAAGAGTCAGAGATAGTGGAGTTTTTCTTCAGTCATAGAGTTGTAAGGCAGTGGAATAGCCTAGAAAATGACGTAGTGGAGGCAGGAACCCTACCAGTTTTAGAGGGTTTGATAAAGCCCTGGAGGGGGAGGAGAGGGCCATAGCAACTGGTGAAAAGGCGGGCCCGGGCTAAGACTCGACCCCTGCAACCCAAATGGTGAGTCAAATAGGTGGGACACACACACACAACACACACACACACACACAAACAACAAAACCACCCCACACAAGAACACAGACAACAGACACACAGACACACAACACCAGCACAGACACACCAACCACAACACACACACAAACCCCCAACCCCAAAACCCCACAACCACCACAAACCCCACACACACACACACACACCACAGGACGAATGAAGCCCAAATCAAGAAAGGGGGGTACCAGGGAAAGGGGAACTACCCGAAGGGTTCAGTGGGACAGGAACTGGCAGGGAAACCAGTTAATGAGATGATGGGAATATGAGCAATAAAATGCAAGGAGGCTTTTTAGGAGAGTTTGTACCCCAAGGGTAAAAGGGTAAGAAAAAGCCCGGGGAGCCCATGGTTTAAAACCAAAGGGGGCAGGGAGGCAAAAACCCAAATGTGCTAGGGAAAGGAAGAAAATATAGAAGGCAAAGGGCCCAGGAGAAAAAGGAACGTCGTAAACCAGAAATGAATATGCACGAAAGAAGGGGGGCCCAAAAAAATATGAAAAAAGACATAGCAGCGAAAGCCCAAAACGACCGAAACGTTGTACACCCAAACAGGGGGAAAAAAACAACAGTCAAGGACCAGGTATCAGGCTAAGGAAGGAAGGAGGAGAGACAAAAGGAAAAGACGGGAAGTAGTGAAAACTCAACAAAGATTCAAAGAAGTGTTCACAGAGGAACAGAAAGGGGTTCAGAAAGCGGAGAGGTGGGGGACACCACCAAGTGCTGGACACAGTGCCCAACCGAGGAAGAATGAAAAGGGCTTCTGGTGAGCTAGATACCTCAAAGGCAATGGGGCCCGATAACATCTCCCCATGGTATTGAGAGAGGGGGCAGAGGCGCTTGTGTACCCCCAACAACAATTCAAAAACTCAAGAAAACAGGGGATTTCCTGAGGGATGGAAAACCCGCAAATGAATCCCCAAACTTTAAAAAAAGGGACAGACAGAAGATTAAAATACAGACCATGTCACGACATGTTAGTATGCAAAATCATGGGAAAGATTATCAGGAGAAGAGTGGGGGAACACCTAGAAAGGAATGATCTCATCAACAGCAGCCAGCATGGTTTCAGGGACGGGAAATCCTGTGTCACAAACCTACTGGAGTTCTATGACATGGTGACAGCAGTAAGACAAGAGAGAGAGGGGTGGGTGGATTGCATTTTCTTGGACTGCAAGAAGGCGTTTGACACAGTTTCCACACAAGAGATTGGTGCAAAAAACTGGAGGACCAAGCAGGGATAACAGGGAAGGCACTACAATGGATCAGGGAATACTTGTCAGGAAGACAGCAGCGAGTCATGGTACGTGGCGAGGTGTCAGAGTGGGCACCTGTGACCAGCGGGGTCCCGCAGGGGTCAGTCCTAGGACCAGTGCTGTTTCTGGTATTTGTGAACGACATGACGGAAGGAATAGACTCTGAGGTGTCCCTGTTTGCAGATGACGTGAAGTTGATGAGAAGAATACACTCGATCGAAGACCAGGCAGAACTACAAAGGGATCTGGACAGGCTGCAGAACTGGTCCAGCAATTGGCTCCTGGAGTTCAATCCCACCAAGTGCAAAGTCATGAAGATTGGGGAAGGGCAAAGAAGGCCGCAGACGGAGTACAGTCTAGGGGTCAGAGACTACAAACCTCACTCAAGGAAAAAGATCTTGGGGTGAGTATAACACCAGGCACAAACTCCTGAAGCGCACATCAACCAAATAACTGCTGCAGCATATGGGCGCCTAGCAAACCTCAGAACAGCATTCCGACATCTTAATAAGGAATAGTTCAGGACCCTGTACACCGTATACGTTAGGCCCATATTGGAGTATGCGGCACCAGTTTGGAACCCCACCTAGCCAAGCACGTAAAGAAACTAGAGAAAGTGGCAAAGGTTTGCAACAAGACTAGTCCCAGAGCTAAGAGGTATGTCCTACGAGGGAGGTTAAGGGAAATCAACCTGACGACACTGGAGGACAGGAGAGATAGGGGGACATGATAACGACATACAAAATACTGAGAGGAATTGACAAGGTGGACAAAAACAGGATGTTCCAGAGATTGGACACAGTAGCAAGGGGACACAGTTGGAAGCTAAAGACACAGATGAATTTACAGGGATGTTAGGAAGTATTTCTTCAGCCACAGAGTAGTCAGTAAGTGGAATAGTTTGGGAAGCGATGTAGTGGAGGCAGGATCCATACATAGCTTTAAGCAGAGGTACGATAAAGCTCACGGCTCAGGGAGAGTGACCTAGTAGCGATCAGTGAAGAGGCGGGGCCAGGAGCTCGGACTCGACCCCCGCAACCTCAACTAGGTGAGTACAACTAGGTGAGTACACACACACACACACACACAGACACACACACACACACACAGACACACACACACACAGACACACGCGCACACAGACACACGCGCACACAGACACATGCGCGCACACACACAGACACACACACACAGACACACACACACACACACACACACACACACACACACACACACACACACACACACACACACACACACACACACACACACACACACACACACACACACGTTGGCGAGGTGTCAGAGTGGGCACCTGTGACCAGCGGGGTCCCGCAGGGGTCAGTCCTAGGAACCAGTGCTGTTTCTGGTATTTGTGAACGACATGACGGAAGGAATAGACTCTGAGGTGTCCCTGTTTGCAGATGACGTGAAGTTGATGAGAAGAATTCACTCGATCAAAGACCAGGCAGAACTACAAAGGGATCTGGACAGGCTGCAGACCTGGTCCAGCAATTGGCTCCTGGAGTTCAATCCCACCAAGTGCAAAGTCATGAAGATTGGGGAAGGGCAAAGAAGGCCGCAGACGGAGTACAGTCTAGGGGGTCAGAGACTACAAACCTCACTCAAGGAAAAAAGATCTTGGGGTGAGTATAACACCAGGCACATCTCCTGAAGCGCACATCAACCAAATAACTGCTGCAGCATATGGGCGCCTAGCAAACCTCAGAACAGCATTCCGACATCTTAATAAGGAATCATTCAGACCCTGTACACCGTGTATGTTAGGCCCATATTGGAGTATGCGGCACCAGTTTGGAACCCACACCTAGCCAAGCACGTGAAGAAACTAGAGAAAGTGCAAAGGTTTGCAACAAGACTAGTCCCAGAGCTAAGAGGTATGTCCTACGAGGAGAGGTTAAGGGAAATCAACCTGACACACTGGAGGACAGGAGAGATAGGGGGGACATGATAACGACATACAAATACTGAGAGGAATTGACAAGGTGGACAAAGACAGGATGTTCCAGAGATTGGACACAGTAACAAGGGACACAGTTGGAAGCTGAAGACACAGATGAATCACAGGGATGTTAGGAAGTATTTCTTCAGCCACAGAGTAGTCAGTAAGTGGAATAGTTGGGAAGCGATGTAGTGGAGGCAGGATCCATACATAGCTTTAAGCAGAGGTATGATAAAGCTCACGGCTCAGGGAGAGTGACCTAGTAGCGATCCGTGAAGAGGCGGGGCCAGGAGCTCGGACTCGACCCCCGCAACCTCAACTAGGTGAGTACAGACACACACACACACAGACACACACACA